CTGCTATTTTACTAAAGTATAATAAAGGATATTTTTATAAAACCTTAGATATTATAGTATTTCTATAAAATAATAACTTATATAAGAACTTTTATTAAATTAAAATTACTCGTTTTTAAATATATATATATATATATATTTGAAATTATTTCTAAATTTCAAATATTAAAAGAAATATATATTTTTAATTCCCGATTATTAATAAAATTAAAAATAAGAATATAAAAAGAGAATTTAAAAAGTAAAAACTAGTTATCTAAACTTATAATAATAATAAGAAATATATAATATTAATATAATTACTTATTATTTAATATATTAGCTAAAGAATTATTCTTAATATTATTATAATAATAAATACTATAAAATTATATTTATATAATATCTTATAAGCTTATATCTAATAAATAATTTTATTTAACTATAATCTTTATATTAATTTATTTTATGAATTTATTAAAGAGCTAAATCTAAAGAATAATTCTATTCTAAAGATTATAAAACTATTATATAATATATTAGAGGCCAGAAACTACTAGTTTAAAACTTATTATTTTTACTATACTAATAAGCTTTCTATAAAATAATTAATTTATAACTTTTATTTCTTTTATAATAAATAATTCTTCGGAATTATTAGCCTTTAAACTAATAATATTCTATTTATTAGAACTAATAATTTTATAAAAATAAAGTAATTAAAGCTCTAAAAGACTAAGTTCTTAGCTAAGAAATATAAATGCCTTATTTTTAATTATAATCTCAAATTTAATAAAAATATTATTTATATAAATATTACTAGAATTACTCTTATAAAGAAATACTAATATAAAAACCTCTAAAGTATTTTTATAAAAAATAATACTATTATAAATAATAGAAATATTATTTATTAAAATCTCTTTATTAAGAACTAATATATTACCTAATATACTAGAGAAATATATATTATATTAATCTATTAACTAGAAGCTTTATATAATTTATTAATTATTATTGAAATTATTAAACCTTTAAAAACTAATATAAAGGTATTTAATAAATATATTTAATAGTAAATTAAGAATATTACTAAAGAATTAAAATTTATAAAGCTAATAAAGAAATCCTTATATTTAATTGTTTTTATAAATAATAAAGATTTCTTTTTCTAAATTAAATATATTCTAGTTCTAGTAAATAGAATTAAATATACTAATATTATTTATTAGTTCTTTACTAAATATAAAAGAATTACTAGAAGTATTCTAGCTTTAGAACTTTATAGTTTTAATATAAGTATTTTAATTAAATCTATAATTAATAAAATACTAGAAATAGAACTATTACTAATTATTTATATGAATTTAAAGTTATTATATAAATACCTTATTAAATTAAATACTATTTAAAAAATTATAGAAATTAAATAAATTATAAGAAAATTGAATTCTATTAATTCTATAATAAAATCGAAGCTATTAAATACTTTTAAGTATCTTATTAATATAAATATTATATAATTAGATATAGAGAAATAAGTTAAATATAAAAAAAAATAAAAATATATATATAAAATAAAAAAATATATATAAAGATTTCCTTAATAAAAGTATTTAAATATCTAGTATCTAAGTATCTAATACTAGGCCGGATTAGGAAATTAAGTATCTAGATATCTGAATATTTGGGTATTTGAATATTTAATATTAAGCTAAATTAGAAAATTAATATATAATTAGAAAAAGATATTATTTTTTGTATTTTTAAAAATGTTTTAATATTAGTATAATTATAATAATTAATAATTATATAATTTTATATTATATAAATAACTTAACTAATATTTAGTTTTTATTAGATTTAGTAAATTTAGAAAATTATATATTAATATTATAATATTATAATTCTTATTTTTAAATAATAACTATTTTACTAATTTATATAAATAGTATTTTATAATTATATAATAATATTATATATTTCTAGTAAACTAATAATAATATAGCTTATAGCTTTAATATAAGTATTTTAATTAAATTTATAATTAATAAAATACTAGAAATAAAACTATTATTAATAGTTTATATAAATTCGAAATTATTATATAAATGCTTTATTAAATTAGATATTATTCGAGAGAAATATCTAATAATTAATATATTATATTTTTATTAAATATATAAAATAAAAATAAAAAAATATATAAAATAAAAAAATATTATAAAAGAAGAGTTATATATAAAAAGCTATAGCCTTTAATATATAACTAAAACCTTAAAAGTAATATAAATATAAAAAGTATTTTGGAAATTTAATATTAGGCCGAATTAGAAAATTAATATATAATTAAAGAGAAATATTATTTTTTGTATTTTTTAGAAAGGTTTTAGTATTAGTATTAATATAAAACCGGGTTTCTAGACTTGAAAAATAAAATAAAATAACTTTTAATTTAAGAATTATAAATTAAGAAAAAAAGCTTATAAATATAAAAGCTTAGTATTCTAAATACTAGCCCTAGTTATATATATTATTATAGTTATATAATACTAAATTTACTAGTAAAATAGTAGAATATAATAAATATAGCTATTTCTTTAAAAGTTATATATATAATTACGAGATTTAAATAATAGAATATAAATAATAAAATATAAAATATAAGATATAATTATAATAGTTCTTATTATATTATATACTTTATATCTAATTGAGACTAGTATAGCTTACTAAGCTATATATATATATTTTATATTTAAGTCTAGTTCTTTTTTAAAATCTCTTCTTTTTTTCTTATCTTAGAATTCTTAATAAATAATTCTCTTATAAGTATTCTATTTATAAGCTTCCTTTATAGATTTATAATAATAATTATATAATCTTATATTCTATAAATAATTTAACTAGTAAATTAGATTTTATTAGACTTAGTAAATTTAGGAATTATATATTAATATTATAATATTATAATTCCTATTTCTAAATATTAATTATTTTACTAATTTTAATATATTTGTATTTTATATATTATTAATAAACTAATATTTATTTTAACTAAAAATAGTATTTAGTAATAGTTTTTAATTGTTTTTTAAAAAGAAATCTATTCTAGTATTTAATTATAAATTACTATAAATAGTTATTTTAAAAAATAAAAGAATTAATATTATAAAATATTAGTAAATATTAAATATCTTATATTTATTATAATATTAATTTATTTAGATATTATATTAATATTTAGTAAATTAATGTAATTTATAAGTAATTTAATTAAATATTATAAATATATATTTAAAAATCTAATAAAATATTTTTAATTTCTATTAAACTAAAAGATTTATTATAGTTCTAAAAAAGAATTTAAATATTTTACTTTTTATTCTAATACTAATTAGACTAATAATAAATCTAATTAAAAGAATATTAGAAAATATTTTATAATTAAATAAGAAATAATATTTAATAAATATTTCAAGCTATAAATTAAAATATATAATATTTATTATTTATATAAAATAAAAGTAATAGATTATATAAATCTTTAGGAATTCAGATTAATTATAATATATTAGAAAGAATAGAATTAAGGTTTATATATTAGGAAATAATTAGAAAGTAATTATATTAACTAAAAACTCTTATTTTTATAACTATTTCAAGTATATTATAATTATTTATTATTTTATTTGAAATCTAATAAAGATATAAAAGGCTTAGATAATTTATATTTCTATAGCTGAAATAGTTACTAATAGAATAATAAAACTGCTATTTAGGATAGCTTTTAAGAGATTTAAGGAGATACTAGGAATAACCAGAAATAGAAAAGCTAGAAGAGCAGAAGTATGAAACTAATATACCCGAAAAAATATGTCCTAAAAGAAAGTATTAAGAAAATAAGTTATATGATATTATATATAAGCGTGGTACTATTATATATGTCACGATTCCCAGATGCCCGGCATCTGAGATGCCTCGCCAGATGCCAGATGCCTCCTAGGCGCACGTGACGCGGCCGCCTCGCTAGGGAAGTATGCTTGGAATGCACTAGAGATATTTAGAAGGCTAAGCCCCTTCGGGACTAGCGCACTGTGGGGTGCATATACTCCCTCGCAGCCTCCTGTATTCTAGTTTTCCCTTCCTTAGCTTTGAATCGTCTTCGTAAGGGACCTTCTACCTTGCTTTCCAAGCCCTGAATGCCGTACCCGTAACAATATAGACTAGTAAGATTACAGCTCTATAAGAGTTTGTAATTTCCCTTTCTCTTTTTATTTCTTTAGTTAATATAATCGAGTCTTCTCTCCTGCCTCTACTCCTGCTATACTGTTCTCTTATTAGGTTATATTAGACTAAGAGGTATATTCTTAATAAAAAGTCTGTTTTTAGGTAATTATATATGGCTTTGCTTTTTGATTGCAATTCGATTTTATATTAGCTATTCTAAAAGGAGCCTAGTTTGCGTGATTTGATGCCTGAGGATTGGCGCCGTACCTATTTTTGGCGCTAGAGTAACTCGTAATCGCTTCCGGTGAAATCGTGCAATTACGCTCGGTCCCCTGAAGTAACCCAGTGTAGGAGTTAAAGTAGGAGCATTGGGTCACTATATTAATAGAGCGTCAGGGGTGGTCTACTCCTAATTAGAATACGATTCGCGATATAATTGATCGGTGAAGTGTGGGTGTGGCCTGTGCGACACAGACTTAGCTTACTAAGCTCGTAAGGACTTCCTAGTTAGGAAGGTGCATGAGATCGAGGGGGTGTTGAAGGAGCCATACTGCACGCACAGACTTAACCGACCGGCTCGGTAGGGTTAGGATCCGTAGTAAGGCGGTGCGGCGAAGGGGAGGATGGTGTATGCCACTATCGTATCTCAGCCAATGGAGACAGTGACAGCGCTTGGACCTGCGATCCTAATAGAGAATAGATTAATAAAGCGGATTCACTTTCTTTCGATATCAAAGCTCCTTCTCTGCTATTTTTGACAAATATTTCGCTCTTTCGGTTACCTATTATCCGTCGACGGCAGAATCTCAATCTCTAGAGAATATGACGGACAATCAGCAGCCGACTATTGTGTCGGTGAATCTTCTGGTTGGCATTTTGGCTGGAATTGCTATCATTCTTCGAGTTTTGGCTAGAAGAATAAGGAATTTACCACTCGAGTCTGACGACATAACCATTATTGTAGCTCTGGTCAGTATCATGGAATCACTCCCAGTTATTCACTTTAATTTTGACATTCGACAGCCGCTCTCATGGTCAATATGCGCTTGCAATATTGTGGGTATGTTAAATGTTAAGGGCTCTCACATTTATGTTTGATGACTGAATTCTGAATTACCAGCTTCGACATACGGGCTTGGAAGACACATCGACACCCTAACCTCTGCAGACATTATCCATGAAGCACAGGTAAGATAGCTGCACTCACGTTACGATTTATCCCTAATCAAAGAGGGTCCAAGATATTCTTTGCCTCCCAGCTTCTTTGGGCAGTAGCCATACCGATTATCAAGATATCTATCCTCCTACTATATATCCGTATCTTCGGGGTCTTGAGCTATTTCCGATATACTGCATATATTCTCGGAGTGTTCTTATTCCTCTGGGGTATAATGGTTGTCTTTGTTGTGTCCCTGACGTGCCGGCCACTAAAATATACCTGGGATAAGAGTGGCGAAGGTTCTTGCATTAATGCAACAGTATTTTATATTGTCGGCTCTGGACTCAACGTTATAACCGACTTTATAACCCTCTTTCTACCGTTACATGCTGTGTGGTATCTGCAATCATCAATTCAACAGAAGCTTCTGCTGACCGGCATCTTCCTCCTTGGTTCTTTGTGAGTACTCCTGAACGTAAATCAGGAGCGTTAGACTTATCACAACAGAACTTGTGCTATTAGTCTGGCCAGGTGGTGTTCTCTTTTCCAAATTCATGGCAGTGACCAAACTTGTGAGTCATTCTTTGATGTGTACCTATAGAAAGATATTGACGCTACAAAATAGGGGATTTGACACTTCCTACAATATGGTCGGCTGCCGAGGCCTGCCTTGGCATTGTCGCTGCCTGCCTCCCAACCCTCCGCCCATTATTCCCTCAATCCCGAACTCCAGACGATTCGCAAACGAATCATAGCTCTCCACCCCAAGGCCTGCAGAGCCCGAGCTCCAAAAATTTCAGACGCTCGTTTTCTATGAACCAAAACTTCCTTCAATTACAAGACTTTTCCGCCAAGGCCACCGCATTACGTTTACAGGCTTTGCCTGACAACTCGACATCTAATTTGGTTGATTCAAGTACTAAGGCCCACAACTATAAGACATAGCTGGAATAGAGTGTGAAAGTTTTGTGCGGTGTATAGGCAAGGCGAGAACGAGACGTTAATATTGTGAGGGGCGTTGATTTATAAGAACGGTTTGGGGAAAGCTGTACCATATATTGATATAATAGAAATAGAAACGCAATCAGTCATGTAGAATGTTGCAAGCTAATATCTAGACCTTTATAGTCCTGCCTGTATAACATCCTCTCGTTTCTCGAGTCGCGAACTGTTCACGCCCGTTCGTCAATACGAGCGGTTTACTAATCGGGCGCTACGATTGGTCAATCGGCCTTCCGATTAATCAATCGTAGCTCCCATTGATTAATAGGAAATGGAATACGATTCGCAAGCCACAGTGGGTCCCGATTAATTAATAAGGGGGCCGATTAATTAATCGAATGGCCAATTAATCAATTGCATAATATTGGGGTTTCGGGGCTGAGGAGGCTGAAATCCTTTAGTTCTCAGTATGTAATAATATATCCTCAAGACTAATGGCTAAAACCCTTTAGTTCTCAGTATATAATAATATATCCTTAAGACTAATGGCTGAAACCCTTTAGTTCTCAGTATGTAATAATATATCCTTAAGACTAATAGCTGAAACCCTTTAGTTCTCAGTATGTAATAGGGGTAAAGACACTTTTCCATAGCTTCTAGATATATATAGGGCCTCTGCTCCCTTTTTACTACCTAGACACAGTTTACAGTACATAGTTCACAGTACAAGCACCTACTTTCCAAGTATAATTACTAATTCTATATACCTCCCAATTAATTACCTTATTTCCAATATGTCTCTTTCAACCCTTCGTTTATCTCTAGTCCTACGTATATCTCGTTAATATATCTATGGCCGAGCAAAGCAATATTTTGATATTACTATACCAGGAGTATATTCCTCTAGTACTCAGTTTTTGCCCTCCCCTATTACTAAAGACCCTACTAATAATTAGTCTGCTAAAGACGAAGCTATATGGGATTAAAGGCTTGCTAAGGGCAGTAGTAGGAAAATTCTTACTACTAGGAAGCATATAGATATTAGATAGTAGTTGCAAAATCCTGATACTTTACTCCCTAGTAGAATAAAAGCAGAGAAGCGCTACTAGGCTAATATTAAGTACGAATCCCAATTATATAAGCTTCAGGATAATTAGGTATATTATAAGGAATACCATGATACCCGCCGCAATAAGATTATTCCAGCCTGGTATATTCTTTACTATAATAATACCTTTGAGGTTTTGACTACTATTTATGAGAAATTAATATATATAGGTAAGTATCCCTTGAATTTACTAATTTTTATACTAATAACCTATATAATAGCCTTTAATACTATATTTGAGTATATAAGACGTATTTGGTATGGCCTATCCCGTAATAACTATACTTAGATAAGTGTCCGCTATACTTACTGTAATAAGGAAAAGGCTCAGAAGAATCCTAAGGGGATTACACCTATCTAATCTTATTATCCTGGCGAGCGTATGGTTCTGGATTTAATAGATTTTCGTATAAGTGTCCCTTAAGTTATATGATTTACTCCTATATTCCTGTATTTCCTGTATTTCGTACGTTTTGTACGTTTTTAAGCTTTTCCTGCGATTTTCGCGATTCCTGCGATTTTCGTAAATTCCGAACCTTTTTATTCACACTTCATTAATACTATAGTATTACTATTACTAATACTATTATAGTATAATCGGGACGGAGAATATACGTGGATCTGGTAATTAAAATGCCACTTTTCCAAGTTTATATAGATCCGTGGGCTTAAGGCTAAGATTGCGGACGAAGCTACGGACAAGCTTATTAAATGGCTAAATAATAATAGATATATTTCCATTTTAGCCTGTAATAATAGGGGTGAGTTTAAGGGGAAAGTGATTGAGATTTGTAAGAAGAGAGGGATAAAGATTATTTATAGACGAGCTTATTACCCTCAATCTCAGGGCTCTATTAAAGTGGCTAATCGAATCTTCAAAAAACGACTACGGGCCGTACGAGCGGATACTAGTATCTAATCATAGATATAGTTACTTCCTTTAATTATATGGGTAATTAATACTATAGCTATACTAGCTCTTCCTAAGGGAAATACACTATACGAGATCTGGTTTGGACAAAAGCCACCTACTAATTTCCTAGACTATAAGGAGAGTGCTCGCCGTATACGTACGGCCCTAGGGGCTATAGGGCCTATGGAAGGTACTACTAAAAGTAGCGCTTCTGGAGAGGATAGAGAGGATAGAGAGAATAGAGAGAATAGAGAGGATAGAAAGGATAGAGAGAATAGCTTTTTCGTAGATAAGGAAGCAGAATAGGAGGAAGTAGCTAAGGAGATAATTTTATCTGAGCTAACTAGGAGGGTTACGGAGCATATGAGAAAATAGAAGGAGAATATAGTAAAGAGAGCGAATTCCAAAGCTCTTGAATATAATATTTAAGAGATTATAATCCTCTAGATCCCAAAGCAATACAGATTCGGTACGGAAATAGCTAGAATTCCGGTAAGAGTTCTGGAAAAGACTCTAAAGATATATGGTTTATAAGCCTTACTTTTAATAAAAGCTAATTAAAATAGGGCTACTGCTTAGCTACTAAGTATGGCGAGCTTACTATTCTCTGGCCGCATAGTACCCTTAATAAAATCATCTCCTAATTGACTTATCCTGATTTACCTACTACTAGTATAACCCACAAGAGAGATAAAATCACCCTCCCTAAAGCGGTAGTAAAGGAGAATAATCGTGGTTTAATTGCATTAGTTTAGAAGGCTAGAAGAGTATCTGAGAGAGCAAAGAAGAGAGTAGCTAAGGAGCAAGCACGTAAGAATGGAGCTAGAGAAGGAGGAGAATCAGGTGATTAAGTAGAGGAAAGGGTACTAAAAAGGGCTAGGGTAGCTATAGGAGCGCCTAGACGTAGTAGGAGGCATATATAGTAAAGCTTTTGCTATTCCCGAGACCTTAATATTACCCGATTAATTAATCGGCTATTCGATTAATTAATCGGGACCCACTATAGCTTGCGAATCGTATTCCATTTCCTATTAATTAATGGGAGCTATGATTAATTAATCGGAAGGCCGATTAACCAATTATAGCGCCCGATTAGTAAACCGCTCGTATTAATAAACGGGCGTAAACAGAACGACGAGAAGCCGACGCAAAGATAGATTAGGAAAGAAAAGTCTGGTCATTAAACCGCACTCGTTATAAATGCCGGAACAGAAACCTGATCGCTTTTAATAGTTGCTAGCTGTTCATTTTATCGAAAATTCCTTTTAAATAAAGACCTCAAATACTTGACGGACTTCTTTACTGCCTTTACAAGCCACACAGGCCGTGGTAATAGCAAAGGCAAATAGTTTTTGAGATCCACCTTCAAGAATGCACTACTAGTCCCTATATAAAGTACGAAAATTACTTTAATTTAATAAGAAATAATATTAAGATCTTGTTTAAAAAGGCAAAGAGTTATATACTGGATTTAAAAGAGTTTACTATTTAATAAATAGTCTAAAATTAGTTTTAAAAAAGAACTAGAACTTTTATATTAACTAATATAAAATTATAAAAGATTAAGTACTTTAAAAAGCTATTAATAAATTAAATAATTAAAGTAATTAAAATTAAAAAATTAATATATTTATATAAATAAATAAAAAATAAAGTATTATAAAATAGAATTAAATCTTATAATATAATAAAAATATATATTTATTATATTTTTTATATTTGTTTTATAATTATTATAATTTAGCTTTTAATTTAATTAGCTAATATAACTATTAATATATATAAAGATTATAAAATAGAGAGTTATATTAAATAGTAAAAGAGTTAATTAAACTAGTTAAAAAAGAGCTTGAGTAAAATATAAAGCTTTAGGAAATAAATATATAGATCCTAATTAAGTATAGTAATTATATTAGTCCTAATTTAGTAATTCTTACTATAATATATCTTCTAAAAAGATATAATATTATATTCTATTTATTCTATCTAATTAGAAAACTTTAAAATAATAAAAATTATTTAATATATGAGTTTTATAGAGCCATATTAATATTTCAAACCAAATAGGCTTAGTATATATTATTTCTCTAGATTATTAAATTCTAGAAAAGCTTTATATAAAGTTCTTTTTTCTACTAACTCTAGAGCCTCTAATTAAATCGCTCTTTTTTAATATCCTTCTAGAGCTCTTTTTCTAAGCTTCTAATTATTTCAAATATAGCTTATACTAGTTTTATCTCTTCTTATATTACTATTAAATTAATTCCGGCTCGCAAATTCAAAGTATTTTTAATCTAAAATATATTCTTATTTTATCTTTTACTAACTTTAAATAATATAAAATAGCTTATAAAATTACTATAAATATAGCTTTTAATTATTAATATAAAGCTTATATTTAATAAAATATCAAGATTTAGATTCCTATAATATCTTTTAATACTTCTAATACTTCTTTATTAAAAGTAAAGAAAATTATATTAAAATCTTATATTTCTTATTTTATTTATATTAGTTTTAGAAAGATCTCTTATATAAGTTATTATAAGTTCTTTATATTATTTTAAAGCTCGTTTTAATTTAATATAGTCTTTTATGCTTTAAAAAATAAGAATAATAGTTCTTATTATAATACTATTAATAGAGGTTTTTATTACTAGAAATATATTTCGAGTTATTTTTATTCTATTATTTTAATCTCTTATATTTCTATTATATAGCTTTTTTTTATTAAACTCCCGATTACTAAAAAATATTATAAGCTTCTTTTTCTTAATTCTTTTTATTAATTCTAATTCTTTTAAAGCATTTATTTGTTTTTAGATATTTTATTTATATTATATTTAAAATTACTAAATCTAATAAAGAAAATAGTAATAAGAGCTTTTTTACTAAGGCTTTAAAAGCTATTAAAAAGAATAAGAAATAATCTAATTAAATAAAGAGTCTTTTATATAAGCTTATTAATACTATAATAAAATGCTTTTAGATCTTTTATTATTAGCTTTTAAGCTCTATTATTTTAATAAATTTTATAAATAAAAGATATAAATAAAAGCCTCTTTTTATATTATTTAATTATTTTAATCTTTATTCTAATATCCTAAAGATTTAATAAAGCT